TACCTAAAACTTACATATATATCTTCATATTCCCACCTCTAATACCTAAAAGGTAAAGTGCACAACCTCAAGAAGTGGTCCAAGAGAGAATTTGTGATGATGAGCTGATCTTAATCAAAAACACTAAGGCTCATACATCCGCATTGATTATCTTACATGGGGCAAATGATTTCATGTGTGATGAGACGGAGCGCTCTTTACATGATGCCCTTTGTGTAGTGAAGAGAGTTTCGTAGTCAAAATCTGTGGTTCCAGGTGGGGGTGCTGTAGAAGCAACCCTGTCTTTATACCTTGAAAACTATGCAGCCAGCATGGGGTCTCGGGAACAGCTTGCTATTGCAGAGTTTGCAAGATCACTTCTTGTTATTCCTAATACACTGGCAGTTAATGCTGCCCAGGACTCCACAGATCTGGTTGCAAAATTAAGAGCTTTTCACAATGAGGCTCAGCTTAACCCAGAACGTAAAAATCTAAAATGGATTGGTCTTGATTTGAGCAATGGTAAACCTCAAGACAACAAACAAGCAGCAGGGGTGTTTGAACCAACCATAGTTAAAGTTAAGAGTTTGAAATTTGCAACAGAAGCTGCGATTACCATTCTTCGAATTGATGATCTTATTAAATTACATCCAGAAAGTAAAGATGATAAACATGGAAGTTATGAAGATGCTATTCACTCTGGAGCCCTTAATAATTGATCTCCTTGTTTCTTTATTTATAACAATGTTAAATGCAGTCGTCTTGTAGCTTGAGTATCCATTAAAATACACCAAGCTGTAAACTTGGGTTTTTGTGATGTAGGAAATGGTTTCCATCTGTGCTTTGGTCCTCTGATTTCACATATTATAACCCTAGTACTTTATTAGTTTAAAAAGAAATTGAGGTGGTTCAAAGTTCATGCCCTCTGAACACACATTGCTATTCCATCCCACCGCCAATGCACAGGGCCGCAACACCACGACTTCCGCCCCTTCTCTCCAGCGCGTGTAACAGGGTCACAAGAATTCGACAGCCAGATGCTCCAAGAGGGTGGCCCAAGGCTACAGCCCCTCCTTGAATGTTGACCTAAGGGAGAGAAGAGACTTAGATTGTTTATTCTTCTGTGGACATAGTTTAAAATCCTAAACTTGTCCTTTTCCTCTTAATGTTGTATTAGCATGCTACACTTTCAAACTCAGATTTCCATTTTAACTGCTTAGGAATAAATTCACACCCTTGTGAAAATTAAAAAAAAAAAAAAAAAAAAA